CTGACCCCAAAGTGGAAGGAGCAAACCGGCAATGAAACACTGTGTGAACTGTTGAAAATGTCAAAACATGTCTTTGAGGATAAATCTTTCGTGACAGTTAAGAACTGAAATCTGATTCCCCTCTACATCGCCCCGTCAGTACGACCGGAGCCTCTACTTTTGCTTTCACTGAGTTTTAAAGCTGCGCATTCGACATAACTTGCTCCAAATCTGATCTCTGTAGAATTGTCAGACAGGAGGAGTATGAGCAACTGATCCCTGATCAGATGAGGCTGACATCCTGTCTGAGCAGCTGCATTACAATACTTCCCCCTCTGGAATCTTTCCCATGGGGTCTATCATGTCCTAATCTCTGCTCGCCTTTCTCCTCCTCTTCATCACACAAAATGAAATCTAAGAAAGGCCAAGTCCTATGAATACTGATTATCCAAATGGCAGAAGAGGGCCAAATAGTCACACATTAAGTATATGCGTCACACATTTGAATGCATTATATGCGTCACACATTTTCAACACATCTGTTGCCAGGAGCAACAAGTGCACTCCTATTTCCCCTGTCATCAAGACAGTGCCTGCAGGGAAATGGCTCCTGATGAACCCTTTCTTGAAATGGAAATGTCGTCTGATAAATGGTTTTCAATGGATTTCCCATCATGTAAAGACCCTCGCTGATCTGCAGTCTGTCACGACACAGTTAATCTGCACGCTCCCGCCCACTCACACACTTCATGCTTCAACAGAGAAGTACTTCCTGCAGACAGAAACTCGCAGCGCACACACTGACTGAGGAACAAAGAGGGGGGCTATCAAAGGGCAGAAATCTGTTCAGCCTTTAAAGGGAGACGCGTCTTAAAGCTGCATTCAAGGTAATGTATAAGAGCACATGACCCCACTGAGAGTAGACATGGTACCTGAACCAGTCTGTCTGCTAACAACGATTCAGAGGCTTTAGTGTGAAATGCACTGAAGCTACGGCGTCGTTTTGGCAATGAAAATCTAAAGACCCAGGCTCCTTCAACGATGCAACATACAATATATAATCAAGAGGTAAAAGGAAAGAAAAATAGTGCAAGAGAATTGTGCAAGTAACCATAACCCATAAAAAACATTTATTTACCTTTGACTTCAAACTTCTTTCATAAATTAATTAATAACATTAAAGGTGGGGTAAGTTTGAGAAACCGGCTCGAGATACACTTTTTGTCATATTCCATGGAATGCTCTTTACATCCCGATAGCAATGATTATCTGAAGTGCTTTGACAAAAAAATCCATACAAAATGTCATCTGTGGAAGCCGTAGTAAAAAGCTCGACCAATCATCTGAGCCGGCCCGGCTAAAGTAACTGGATGGCCTACCTGCCTGTCAGCCTTCCATCTGTGCACAAACTTATCTCGTGCCCTCATTAGTTATGTGCGCGTTGGAGGCGGGGCTCTATAAGGAAGTAGCAGATTTTTTCCGGTTGTGTATTTTCAAATTCTAGCGATCTCGAGCTGGTTTCTCCAAAATTACCTACCCGACCTTTAATAACTTGTGATTATATAATACAAGTAATGTTAATTGTTGGCTTAGGACAGAACATTTTAAAGAGAGTAATTGATCATAAAGTAAGCTAAATAATATTGCATAATATGATAAACAAATAGTTCTTATTAAAGAGTTGTATTGCATTTGAATCTAATGCACCTGCACATGATAGTTTTTGCCTATTTGAAGAAAATGTACTTGCATGTTTATTGCTTTTTGTATCTTAACTGTTTATTGCACTTATTGAAAGTCCTTTGAAGTTGAAAATGTGCCACATAATTAAAATGTAACGTACACTCAAAGTTTGAAGGTGGTCATTTCAATGGCTTCAACATGACATGAACACGTCATTGTACTTCGCTCCTCTTGAGTATTGTCAACATACAGCTACACAACAATACATCCTATGCTCCCCAGCTGTTAGGCATTGTTTTATAAAAGCTGCTGCAGTTGCTCCTCTGAAGACCAAAAGCTCGGAGCGTTTATTTTCTCCAGACTCTCTATCAACAACACTGCGAGGAAGAAGAGTCTTGATCTTTGGTGAAGACAGTTCTCTGTATTTCTCCGAGCTGCAACCCATTGAGTCAGTATCCCTCAGGTCGTCTGCCTCGCCCGGGGCGATGGTGGGAGGACGGCCGTAAGAAAGCATCAGACGGCAGCTCTGTGGAGTTTGATCAGAGAGAGAGGAAGAAAGAGCGGGACGGAGAGATCAGAAGAAACACTGTCAGGAACTGATGAAGCCGAAAGAGAGAGGAACTGGGTGTCTGGCGTTGTGGCAGATTTTGTGTTTTCACTAGAAATGTCATCAGATATCGTCCGCCCACTGTGCTCCACCTCTGGTATAGATGTGATGGAGTTTAATTCAATACCTCTATGCTGCATTATTGATTAAAAGCAGCTGGGTGCGTATGGAAAGCTTTTAACCTCAATGTATCCCAATTACACGTACAGTGATATAAAAGGCATAGGGATTTGGAAGATATAAGAAATTGCGAGTGTTTAGACTGATATTACAATTGGAATATGATCCACGGTATTCGAGAGATTGAAAATATTGCATTGTTAATCTAATAATAATACTTTAAAGGGGTCCTCTACTAATTTTCAGATTCATATTTAGTGTCTCTGGAACATGTCTCCATGCTTTAATGTTCAAAAGCTCTTTATTTTTCTCATCATTCCTGTGCTGCAGCACCTCTTTTCACCCTCTGTCTGAAACCAGAGCCCAGTCTGCTCTGATTGGTTAGCTGGCCGGCTCTGTTGTGATTGGTCAACCGCTTAGAGATGTAAGATTAGCCTATCACATACAATGTGTTGGAGCGCTAACCAATAGAAGTGCGAGTGTTAAATAGTAATGTCACTATGTTCTGGAAGTCAACAAAGTAGGAAACACAGGGCATTTTATCCATTTCAGACCATTTACATGCACAAAATCATCTATAACACACTACAGGAAAGGGATACCCCGAAATTAGAAGTGGTTTTTTTAACAAAAGTGGTGTTTAAAATGTCATAAAGTGTATTTTTTCTGCACTAAACACATTCGACCTATCAAAAGTTTTGCTTCTCAAAAAAATACATTTGAATGATGATGCAAAGGTTACTTTTCTGCTAAAAACACTCAATTTAGTCTTAGTCTTTGGTGTCCAAATGCTAATATCACATCAAAATAAACAGAGTTATAAAAATTACATATTTCCTACTTTATAAGGAAATACAGATGAATTGCAGACTGTTGCTGCATCATGTGTTATTTAGGCTAACAACGGCCTAAAGTTCCCACGTTCTCTCCACTCCTCTAGTGTCAGAGGAGATGTGACTTTCCCTGCTCGGTGGTTAATGAGCCATACCTAATCTGAACAGGAACAAAAGCCTGCAGGACACCAGCATCAGCGAGCGGAGATGAAAACAAAAGCAACGACCCAAACACAGAACATTTCCCACACTTCAATAAAACAATGTGACATTTACCACACGTTGTTTCAACCACCTCAAAGTCTATGTTGTCTTTTCCTGATCTAATGTTTTCTTTTTGTTCGGAGGTGACAGTACAATTGTGCATATCGATGGACACAAAAGAGTCTCTTTTATGTCTTATGCCACCATATCTCTGTGATTGCTGTAATCTTTGATCATTTTGTATCACTTATTCTGTTGCTCAAACCAAAATGAGAGAAACACGGTGTTTTCTATAAACCCTAACAACAGGAAATTGGTATTTAAGTTAATCCTTTTTACATAACTGTGACATGTCTCCATGCTTTAATGCAGTGGTTCCCAACTGGGAATTCTTACAATAGTACAGAAAAAAATGTTTCATTTAAAATTTGACGGATAAAAGAGACTGTTCAGAGGGGAGGGGTCTTCCTAAATAAGTAGTGAGTCTTAACATATTTGTTTACCTGACAACAAGTGTACATTTCAAGTTTAAATACATTTGTATTGAATGAGAGTTATACAAGTGATTTTCATTTAGGAGCAGTTGGGGTAAACACGATAACAAAGGGTTTAATACACGAAAAAATGTAGGCGAATTATAACGGATGAGTGAGGGGGTACTTTATAGAATGGCGACCAGACAAAAAAGGTTGGGAACCACTGCCTTAATAGACACGGTGGTGGTGGGCAGCTACATGGGGATGCTGCGGATATTCTCCCCAAACGTCAACAAGACCAGCGAGGGAGGTCCGGCTGACGCCCTGCTGCTGGAGGTCCAGCTTAAAAACGCAATCATCCAGGTGGAAGTGGGCAAGTTGGTCTCGTAAGCAGACTGAAACTCAGGGAGAAGGCCATCAAAGGGTTAAAATAGATTGCCTTATGGTGGAATATAGGTTAATATAGTGTATATTTAGGTGATGAATGGAGAGAGTCTACTGGTAAAATGTAAGTGAATGATGTGCTTACTATGAGGTGCTCTCCATGGAGGATGGAACATGACATATATATATATAAAAACAACAACAAAATGAGATTATTAAATACGGATAAGGGAACAAATAGTATAATAATTGTTGGTATAAACAAATTACAGATTATAAGGTTAGTTTTTGGTGAATAGTATATTGTAGTATATCTGTAGTGGTATGTTGAAGGTGCTCTTCTGAGAGTATCCTCAAACAACCTTCAAATAGCAGCAACAATGGATCACTGAAGGACAAAAGAGAGCAGGCTGCAGAGAGAGGAAGAGCCTGTGTGTTTCAACCGTCACAAGTAACGAACATTAAGGTAAGACGGGTTTGCCATCAGGATATCAAACATTATTCACAATTGTAAATGTATTATCTCGGCCTGGGTGTTGTAGTATTTGTTGTTGTCAGTCCCCTCAGGAGAGAAAGCTTCATGTTGTCTCCGTCCATATAGTCAGGTGTCAGCAAACACAACCAGCAACATGTGGTATAAAAGCACAACAAAATAAATTAATCTAAAACTAGATACATTAAAAACATGTGATAATAACAATAATAACATTCAGATCAGAATCAGAATACCTTTATTAGTCCCACAGAGGGGAAATGTACATTGTTACAGCAGAAAAGAGCCACAGACAGCTTAATGTTACCTCAAGCATGCATACAAAAGTATTAAAGATTAAAAAAACTGAAAAACGCAATCATGTGCTTCTTGGTATTGAATATCTTCCTACTCCATGGAAATGTTACTCACTGCAGTTTATTTAGACTAGGTTTATGAAGAAAACGTGTTATTACCGGGAACATGAGTGAAAAATAGTCACGTGAGATTAATTGAGTCGGGGTGATTAACGCATAAAATGTCATAATTGAAAACTGTTCTTCGTGTTCTCCGTAGCCGTTCTTCTGACTGTTTCCAAAGAGTTGAGGGACAGAAATTGAACCTCATGCAGGATTACGGGGCTGAACGCACTGCCATTTGTTGAGAAGACGATATTCCCTCATGGACCTGGAAGATAAACAGGGAGAATACTCTTGTTATAGAACCAACGATCACTGAAAACAGAGATCTCTTAAAAAAGTTAACAAAAGTTCAATGTGATGTTCAGAGAGATATTTATATATTTATTTAAAATATATAATATGTAACATTTCCTTATTCAAATGTCAAAAAATGATTACCCTATGGTATTTAAACATTATTTGTGAGTTGTGTTCATCCAATACCTGTTCTTTCACACAAGTGAAAAGCTAGCATTAGGCTATAAAGGAACTGCATCACAGTCACATGGTTTAACATCACAGCCAATGAGGAGATGAGTTTCTCCGTGATCAGCGTGATGACGTTATTATGAATTTAGCCACTCGTTAGAACCGCCTGTTTAAAGACACTCTTTGAGCTTTATATTATTTAATAGTTAAACATTTATTTTCTTGCTGTTTTTGTGTATATTGAAGGTATTATTATTTAGTGGCGTTATTGCAGTGAGTTAAAGGCATTTTGAAGGCATGTTTGGGCACTGGGTGTAATTGTATATATTGGAGACAGGTGGTGGAGGGAGTAGAGCACTAGTAGGCTCATGGGCTGCGGTCCAATTGTCCGTTTAAAACAACACCATCAGAGCACGGTGCAGAGTCTCTAGATGCGTTTACAGTAGTCCGCCGTTCTTATTATACATCCATGTAGTCCGCTGGATACAAAACTGTAGTTTCCCCACAGACGCACATTTATGACGTCCGCTGGCGCATCATAAGAAGGATTCTCAAAGCACCGCAGTCTCTTCTCCTAAGTCCTTTTGAATCCTCCTATCCACTATCCCTTAACCCCGTGACGTTCCACACAGAGGTCGAGGAATAGTGGATAGGAATAGTGGATAGGAATAGTGGATAGGAATAGTGGATAGGAATAGACGATAGGAGCAGATTTTTTGATAATTCGACTGAAACCCTCGTTTTTTACCAGGGTGATACAAGCCACAAGGAAAGCCACAAAAAAGGGCTGAAGGAAAGGAATCGATAGGAAAGCTGTTCATTGTACTTTTGTTAATGATATTGGACCATGAAAATAAATAAATGCACAAACGGAGATTCTTGTCTGAACTTGTATCAGTTCGTAAGATTCAATAACTGGTGCCTCAGCTGCAGTGTTATTTTAAGTTCATTATCTGTTTTATTTCTATATGTTTTTTTCCGCTTCAGACACATATAAACCTCAACATTCAGAAGTGTGGTATTTATTGGATATAAGTGTGTCTAACGTTAACATTTTTTAACATTTTGTTAATCACATTATTTCAGACGTCAAACCAAATACACATTTGACTTTAAGACGAAGGAACAGGAAGTGTCATTTCAGGGTTTTAGGATTTGTTCCTGTGGTCGCTCGCTGCCATCAGTGTGTGAGTAAGAAGTACAACATATAAGGCTGCTGTTATTTTGCAGCTTAAAGAATGAAGATATTGAAGTAACTGTTATTTTGTATATATTGATTATTGTGTTTTATCTTAATGTGTGCATATGTGGAAATGTGTTTACGTTATTTCGATCTCTCTGTCTGTACAAACACACAGAAACATTGACATTAAAGTTGACGTTGAAAGAGAAAGTTGATTGGTCTGTTGGTATTTACACAGATTCGATTCAATCACTATATTTAATTTCCCTTTTCAAGGGATACTCTACGCATCCTTTGTTTGTATCAGACCTAAACGCAGTTCTTGAGCAAAACCTTTAAATCTGTTAAACTGTTTTATCTGTTTATTTTAACAATGTGATCGCATGATTCCTTCAGGTATTATTGCAGATCTGCTGTAAGCTAGCTAGCTGACCTTGTCCTTTCAGATATACTGACAAAACACTTAACAATATGAAACAGACTCTGCCACCAACAGAGACAGCTTGCCAACTTTATAATGTTGACAAACTGTCATTATACTGTTCTATATCTTTATAATATCCACACTTTTTAGTGTCCGCGTTTCAGTTTTGTTTTAAGCTTCTTGCAGCGTTTCGTTAATGTAGGGCTTTTAGTAAACGCTGCGCATGTTTCCTCAAGTTAGTAAATATTTTCTAAATGCCGTGAATGTGTTGTCAAGTTGGTCAAGATGTTTCTTCATTTGCATGTGTTTTGGAACATTTGTGTTTTTATATTGCATTGTATTTGAAGCTTCAGCGCCTTTCTCCTAATGTAAGTGTTTTGGGCCGTTGTAGCAGGTTAGCCCTGTTAGCCACTCCATGTTAGCCATAAATGGGAGGCACAGGTTTCATCAAGTGATACATATATTACCTATGATTTGATTGCATGTACGAGAGTTTGGATATATCTGGAGATATGGGTTCAATACTCACATTTCTTCTGTATCTTGGCTTTCATTGTCTAGCCATCGATCCTGCAGAGATGAACACAATCCAACAGTTACAGATCAAGTAAAAGAAGTGTTTGTTCTTTGAGTTAGTCAGCTTCACAGTCCTGAGTGATCCAATGCTTTACATCACATCATATCTTCTCTGCAAACACTACGACTGACTGTCCACAGCTCTCAGCTGCATCAGAGAATTAACTAGGCATTAGTCCAGGAACTAAAAAACGTCAAAGGAAAAACAAACAGACTACCTTTGTAACTGTAACATCCCATGTGTCTGTTAATGAGTTGCAGCTGAGTGAAATGTGGCTTTGCATTGTCAGCTTGTATTATCTTGCTTGATAATAATGAAAGTAAAGAACCGCGAGATGAACAAAAGGAGGAACTGCAGATAAATGGTAACATCACTGATTTGTTGTGCTAAGCTAGGCTACGCCTGGAAGGTGGAACTGGAGAGATTCCCCAGTGAGAGGAACACATCCACCTCCCTGTGTTTAATACAATCCTGCTGAACCAGCAGAGAGTCGACTCCTTACTGACCCGAGTTTCTCCAGTCTGCAGTCTGGACTCTCCTGAAGATCTCTCAGCAGCTTCACTCCTGAATCCTGCAGATCGTTGTAACTCAGGTCCAGCTCTCTCAGATGGGAAGGGTTGGACTTCAGAGCTGAGGCCAGAGCAGCACAGCTGATCTCTGACAACCTGCAGCTCATCAGTCTGAATAAAGAACACATGATGCAAGTTTAGAAAACAATGTTCCTTATTGAAATAATGAAAGTTCTAATCATCTGATTATAGCTGGAGAAGTAGAGAATGTAGAAGTTTATAAAGTGGACACTCCCGACAGGTTAAAAACAGTAAGTTCCAGAAAGAGAACATAGCTCTGATTAATATTAAAGACAACGTGCTTCACCTTCAATACAAAGTGGTGACTTCACATCTGAAGCTCTGCTCCTTCTACACTAACTCGTGATGTGCAGCCAGACAGATACAAACCCACAGAAACTGATTCAACTCAAGATCACAGAGTTCACAAAGATCACAAAGATGTCAGGAAGAATTTTAAAGAAATGTGATCAAAATAAATAGAGAATATTTATTTTAGGAATAGTGGAGACATAGATCACAGCATCTTCAGTTTAAACTATTCAGTCAGCATGAGCATCTTGTAGCTTAATGCAAATGTTAGAAACAGCAACAACTGAAAATATTTGTTAGTGTTTGATAGTTTGAATAGAAATATTTAATTATTGTATTCATGTGTTTATAATGTCATTTATATTAAAAAAACAGTCAGTATAAGCATCTTTTAGTTTCATAAAAATGTTGGAAGAAGCAAATACTGAATATATTTTTAGTGTATGATTGGAAATACTTATTAATTTTTACTAATTTGTCTTTTATATAATGCAGTAAAATAAAACTTGACGGAGGTTCAGAGTGAATTATGCAGAGTATAATTCTTATTGTAATATTTACATGTAAAGCTGAATATTATTCTGTCAATGAACTAAACCACAGAAGAAGAACATAGACTTCAGCATTAAGATGCTCAGTGAGGATCAGGATCATATCAGCCTGATGTCTGCAGCTCAGAGTCAACACAACTCTCACATATTAATCTCAGCACAGAAGTTAAAGATGGAGAACTGACTCTAGAGTCTCCAGTCTGCAGTCTGGACTCTCCAGAAGATCACTCAGCAGCTTCACTCCTGAATCCTGCAGATCGTTGCCACTCAGGTCCAGATCTCTCAGATGGGAAGGGTTGGACTTCAGAGCTGAGATCAGAGCAGCACAGCTGATCTCTGACAACCTGCAGCCACTCAGTCTGAATAAAGAACACATGATGCAAGTTTAGAAAACAATGTTCCTTATTGAAATAATTAAAGTTCTAATAATCTGATTATAGCTGGAGAAGTAGAGAATGTAGAAGTTTATAAAGTGGACACTCCCGACAGGTTAAAAACAGTAAGTTACAGAAAGAGAACATAGCTCTGATTAATATTAAAGACAACGTGCTTCACCTTCAATACAAAGTGGTGACTTCACATCTGAAGCTCTGCTCCTTCTACACTAACTCGTGATGTGCAGCCAGACAGATACAAACCCACAGAAACTGATTCAACCCAAGATCACAGAGTTCACAAAGATCACAAAGATGTCAGGAAGAATTTTAAAGAAATGTGATCAAAAATAAATAGAGAATATTTATTTTAGGAATAGTGGAGACAGAGATCACCGCATCTTCAGTTTAAACTATTCAGTCAGTTTGAGCATCTTGTAGCTTAATGCAAATGTTAGAAACAGCAACAACTGAAAATATTTGTTAGTGTTTGATAGTTTTAATAGAAATATTTAATTATTGTATTCATGTCTTTATAATGTCATTTCTAAAAAAAAACAGTCAGTATAAGCATCTTTTAGTTTCATAAAAATGTTGGAAGAAGCAAATACTGAATATATTTTATGTTTGATTGGAAATACTAATTTTACTAATTTGTCTTTTATATAATGCAGTAAAATAAAACTTGACGGAGGTTCAGAGTGAAATATGCAGAGTATAATTCTTATTGTAATATTTACATTTAAAGCTGAATATTTCTCTGTCAATGAACTAAACCACAGAAGAAGAAAATAGACTTCAGCATTAAGATGCTCAGTGAGGATCAGGATCATATCAGCCTGATGTCTGCAGCTCAGAGTCAACACAACTCTCACATATTAATCTCAGCACAGAAGTAAAAGATGGAGAACTGACCTGAGAGTCTCCAGTCTGCAGTCTGGACTCTCCAGAAGATCACTCAGCAGCTTCCCTCCTGAATCCTGCAGCTCGTTGCCTCTCAGGTGCAGATCTCTCAGATGGGAAGGGTTGGACTTCAGAGCTGAGATCAGAGCAGCACAGCTGATCTCTGACAAACTGCAGCCTATCAGTCTGAATAAAGAACACATGATGCAAGTTTAGAAAACAATGTTCCTTATTGAAATAATGAAAGTTCTAATAATCTGATTATAGCTGGAGAAGTAGAGAATGTAGAAGTTTATAAAGTGGACACTCCCGACAGGTTAAAAACAGTAAGTTACAGAAAGAGAACATAGCTCTGATTAATATTAAAGACAACGTGCTTCACCTTCAATACAAAGTGGTGACTTCACATCTGAAGCTCTGCTCCTTCTACACTAACTCGTGATGTGCAGCCAGACAGATACAAACCCACAGAAACTGATCCAACTCAAGATCACAGAGTTCACAAAGATCACAAAGATGTCAGGAAGAATTTTAAAGAAATGTGATCAAAATAAATAGAGAATATTTATTTTAGGAATAGTGGAGACAGAGATCACAGCATCTTCAGTTTAAACTATTCAGTCAGTTTGAGCATCTTGTAGCTTAATGCAAATGTTAGAAACAGCAACAACTGAAAATATTTGTTAGTGTTTGATAGTTTGAATAGAAATATTTAATTATTGTATTCATGTGTTTATAATGTCATTTATACAAAAAAAACAGTCAGTATAAGCATCTTTTAGTTTCATAAAAATGTTGGAAGAAGCAAATACTGAATATAGTTTTATGTTTGATTGGAAATACTTCTTAATTTTACTAATTTGTCTTTTATATAATGCAGTAAAATAAAACTTGACGGAGGTTCAGCGTGAAATATGCAGAGTATAATTCTTATTGTAATATTTACATTTAAAGCTGAATATTACTCTGTCAATGAACTAAACCACAGAAGAAGAAAATAGACTTCAGCATTAAGATGCTCAGTGAGGATCAGGATCATATCAGCCTGATGTCTGCAGCTCAGAGTCAACACAACTCTCACATATTAATCTCAGCACAGAAGTAAAAGATGGAGAACTGACCTGAGAGCCTCCAGTCTGCAGTCTGGACTCTCCAGAAGATCACTCAGCAGCTTCACGACTGAATCCTGCAGATCGTTGTAACTCAGGTCCAGATCTCTCAGATGGGAAGGGTTGGACTTCAGAGCTGAGATCAGAGCAGCCCAGCTGATCTCTGACAAACTGCAGCCTATCAGTCTGAATAAAGAACACATGATGCAAGTTTAGAAAACAATGTTCCTCATTGAAATAATTAAAGTTCTAATAATCTGATTATAGCTGGAGAAGTAGAGAATGTAGAAGTTTATAAAGTGGACACTCCCGACAGGTTAAAAACAGTAAGTTCCAGAAAGAGAACATAGCTCTGATTAATATTAAAGACAACGTGCTTCACCTTCAATACAAAGTGGTGACTTCACATCTGAAGCTCTGCTCCTTCTACACTAACTCGTGATGTGCAGCCAGACAGATACAAACCCACAGAAACTGATTCAACTCAAGATCACAGAGTTCACAAAGATCACAAAGATCAGAGTCTGAATAAATAACACACAATGTAAGTTCAGAGAACAATGGTCCTGCTTGAGGTAGTTCAAAGTTTCGTCATCTGTTCAGACCTGGAGAGGGTTCAGAGGTCGATGTCAAAACTGATGTAGATACTTTTATAGATGTAATATATAAAAGTATCTATGATAATGCATCAGAACAACCTCCTTCATCTCCCTCACAGCTCATCAGTGCTGACAGCATCTTCACTGAGTCATGGAGCACAGTGAGAGTCTGTGGAAGCTCAAACACTGTCCGTCACACATCTACTTTCTCTGCTTTCTGTTAGTCTTGTAAAATATTCAGCAATTTAGAAAGAAATGTGAACTTATTAAAATATCTTTGTACTCAGGCAAATCATGGAATTATAAATATATCAATTATAAATACTTTACAAAACCACATGAACTGCAGCCAGTGATCTGACCTCAGAGCCTTCAGTCTACAGTTTGGACTCTTCAGTCCAGAACTCAGCTGCTCCACCGCCTCTGAATCCTGCAGACCGCCTCTCATCTCCAGCTCTCTCAGATTGGAGGGGTCTGACTTCAGAGCTGAGGCCACGACTTCCCAGTCTAAGAATCCACTGTCAGGAATTCTGTTATAACACATATTACAGAATTCGTTTATATAAAAAAAGTGGAAACAATATATTGACTTCAAAACATGTTGAATATCATGATCTGATTACCAGTGGATGGTTGAGTGTGATCTGATCCCATGTCTGTCACCTCTTTGCTAGCTACCTTCTAGACTAGAGTCAACATAAATCAGATATACTCTGTGTCTAATTTAACGATAAAGAAACTGCAATCATTTCATAATAACTTTACTCAATTTTATGACATATGTACAATTATTCTGGATGTTGTGATCACATGTTGCTGTGATAAAACATCCTTCATATGTTTTTGACAAGGAAAATGAAGAGAAGAAAAAACTGTACCATTTTGAAATTATTAGAATAATTGTTTTAATTCAATTTTGCTCTCACAGAATGTGAAACAGCTAAAAGTTGAATAGTGTTTATTTGAAAAACTAAAATCCTTATCTTCACTAATCTATAAAGTTAATCACATCTGGACTCACACAGCCTTCCTGCAGTTCCTCTCAGCTGGAATCAGTCTCCGTCGTCCCTCCTGTGATGTTTTGTACTTCTCCAACTCATCCAGAACCTCCTCTGACATCTCCAGCCTGTAGGCCAGAGCTGAGAAGTGTTTCACAAAGAGTCTCTTCTCTGATCTGTTCTCTGACGTCAGGAACTCTGTGATCTCCTGAAGTACTGAGTGGTCGTTCATCTCTGTCAGACAGTGGAAGATGTTGAGGCTCCTCTCGGGAGAGACTTCATCACTTCTCATCTCCTTCAGGTTGCTGATGGCTCTCTGGATGATTTCTGGACGTTTGTCTGTGAGACCCAGCAGGCCTCTGAAGAGTCTCTGGATGATTGCTGGACGTTTGTCTGTGCGACCCAGCAGGCCTCCTAAGAGTCTCTGGTTGGACTCCAGAGAGAGGCCGTGGAGGAAGCGGACAAACAGGTCCAGGTGGCCATTTCTACTTTTGAGTGATTTCATCATGGCGCTCTTTAGGAAGACATCCAGGGATGGGTAATCCTGATCACTGCTAAACATGTTGTTATAGTCTCCCTGCAGGAAGTCCTTCAGTACCTCTGTGTCTCTGTTGGTGTAACAGTGGAACATGTAGACTGCAGCCAGAAACTCCTGAATGCTCAGATGAACAAAGCAGTAGACTGTTTTCTTGAAGATCACACTCTCTCTTTTGAAGATCTCTGTACAAACTCCTGAGTGCACCAAGGCCTCGGTGACACCAAGACCACAGCGCTCCAGGTCTTCTTGGTAGAACATGATGTCTCCTTTCTCCAGATGTTCAAACGCCAGCCTCCCCAGCTTCAGAAGAAGCTCCCTGTCAGCCTCCGTCAGCTGCTGTGGACTGCTCTCATGTCCCTCTTCATACTTCTGCTTCTTCCTCTTGATCTGGACCAGCAGGAAGTGTGAGTACATGTCAGTGAGGGTCTTGGGCAGCTCTCCTCTCTGGTCTGTAGTCAACATGCGGTCCAGAACTGCAGCAGTGATCCAGCAGAAGACTGGGATCTGACACATGATGTGGAGGCTCCTGGAGCTCTTGATGTGAGAGATGATTCTGCTGGACCATTCTTCATCACTCGATCTCCTCCTAAGTACACATCCTTCTGTGCGTCAGTGAAGCCTCGTACTTCTGTTACCCTGTCCACACACTCAGAAGGGATCTGATTGGCCGCTGCAGGTCTGGAAGTTATCCAGACGAGAGCCGAGGGAAGCAGCTTCCCCCTGATGAGGTTTGTCAGCAGCACGTCGACTGAGGACTGCTGAGAGACATCAGACACAACCTCATTGTTTTTGAAGTCCAGAGAAAGTCTGCTTTCATCCAGGCCGTCAAAGATGAACAGCACTTTGCAGACAGCCAGCTGCTCTGCTGTGACCTCCTGTAAGGTTGGATGGAAAACATGGAGCAGTCTGAGAAGACTGTACTGCTCACCTTTGATCAGGTTCAGCTCCCTGAAGGAGAGCGGGATCACCAGACTGACATCTTGGTTTCCCAAACCCTCGGCCCAGTCCAGAGTGAACTTCTGCACTGAGAAAGTTTTTCCAACTCCAGCGACTCCGTTGGTCAGGACCGCTCTGATGTGAGTCTGTTGGTCAGGTGAGGCTTTAAAGATGTCCTGGCACTTGATTGGAGTGTAATGGAGGGTATTTGTCTTGTAAGCTGCCTCAAGCTGCCTCACCTCATGTTGGGTGTTTAACCTCTTTACTCTGTCCTTGTGTGATGTAGAGCTCAGTGTAGATCCTGTTGAGGCTGGTTTCACTTTATTCAGTTCCTTCAGTCACTTTGTTCACATCTCCTCCTCAGACTGAGCCTATGTTCATCTAAAACCTCCTGCAGACCACGTTCTGCTGAAAGAAAAGGAAACGTGAGAATAATGAACATTTTGTAAATGAACTTATATTATGTACAACACAACAGGAAGAATCCTGTTTTCAGGCATGAAGACACCAGGAGACAGAGGTCAAGACTTACTTTGTACTGTTCTGGTCTGACTGGCTGTCTGCAGTCCAGCTCTGGTTCTGGATCTTTCTCCACACTGGGGACATGAGGAGTCTCCTGATGGAGGTCGCTGCTCCCAGTATGAGGTGATGCACTGTCTGCAGAACCAGTGTCCACAGCTGGTAGAGACTGGATCCTTCAGGACGTCCTGACACAGAGCACAGCTGGACAGCTGCTCCTCCACAGGAACATGACTTTTCCTCTTCCCTCTGTGGAGATGAACACATCCTTTAGAGCACATTACGGTGACTGATTGTTTAAGTTCTTTATCTGTAGATGATATTTCATCCTGATATTTATGTATATTATTCATATTTATGAAAGAAAACGCCCTTCTGTCTGTAACATCATCCGCCTACAGCATGTTCACTGTACCTCACAAGTTGTTACGGCTAAATTAAACTGGTTTATGTAATAACTCCATAATGATTCCAATTTGTAAAAGCAGTTAACACTTTGTCAGGTCTGTCCACATGGAAAGCAAATCACTTTGAAAATGCTAGTTAATGAATGGGGATTAGATTGAGTGGAGTGAGACTTAGCTAACATTGTGGCTGCTCCATTAACAGTCAAACTAACATCAATGGTTGATACACACATGTTTAACTTAAATTCAATATGAAGTACTGTAGAACTCTAGGTGCCGATATTCTATACTGAGCTCTGCTGAATTTCTATACTATGGGCTACTGCACTCATGTAATTATTAAAGAAAAGTGTAAAATGATCAGATGGCCTATATATAGATGTATACAGTATATATATATATATATATATATATATATGTTTGTCAGGTCAGTTCACAGTAGAAACAGACTCTTACTTTGTGTCTGGGGGTCCAGGTTCATTACTGAAGTATATAAGTTCATCTTTGGACCAGTCACTCTTCATAGACAGACAGCTGGAGAATGGAGACTCTTCTCCCCGTCTGTGGAAACAACAAATGTTTAAAACACATCAATAGTTCTTGTAAAAAGCAGCGTTTGATTTCAGTTTTGATTTTCTTTCCCCTTTTAAAGATTTTCGTTTTTACTCTAAACTTTATGTCTTAACAATTGGGTTTTTGGGTTTCTGTTGTTGCAATTCTTTGAGAGTGAAAAGTTCTACATGTTCCAAGTGAATTTACTTAACCAAACACAAAGTCCTACATGTCGAGTGTGAGAATGATTTCACTGTTGCAGTTTATTTACTACCGCTGATGATGCCAAGGAGAACAGCGTCACAGGCGTGCAAAGTGTGGACCCAAAAGCACAGATGCAGACACAGCTTTGAAGCACAAAAGAGTCTTTACTTGAGTTACTGATAAAAGATACAATAATGCTATGATTCCAAAAACACAGGATCAGCAGATCCAGAAAAGACATACAATAAATATCTACCTGAAGCTTACCGATCAATAACTAGAAAAATACTTAATAACTACTACTACCTGATCTTACCTTACTATAACTATGAACGTGGACTATGACTATTACTTTAACTGGACCATGATTTACGAAAACGCTGGAGAGCTCGGCACAACACACAAGACACTCTGGCAACGAGACGGTGAATAGCTGGGCCTACATATACTGACATCACCTGGTGCAGACAATAATGACCTGACAAACAATCACCAGGGTGGGAACAGAATATGTGGATAAGCAATGCTTGTTTATGATTGATCCACTGATGTCATAGTAACAATATGCGTCATCAGCCAGACAGACAGTCAGACATTCAAACAATGTGTGAAGTTCACCTTCCTTCAAGACATAAGCCTGTTTGTCTGGTTTATTAATACATACTGAGTATTGGCACGTTGTCGTCTGGAGTATTAATT